CTAAATGTTGAGTTTCCGCGCGACTCCCTCTCGTCTTTTGGCGTGGCGCCCTGTGGGCCCCGTGGGACGTGTGAGACTTGTGTCCCTGTGGGACTTGCGCGACTTGTGGGGCCTGCGAGACCTACGGGACCTGGGCGATTTGCGGGATCGGTGGGTTTTGCGGGACCCGTGCGACCTGTGCGACCTGCGAGACTTGTGGGAGCTGCGGGGCCTGCAAGACCTGTGGGGCCTGTGCAAAACGTCGGCCTTGTTAGGACCTGCGACAGACCTGCAGGACTTGCGGGACCTGTAGGGTTTCTGGGACCCGTGGGGCCTGTGCGACCTGTGGCACCTGTGGGACCTGCGAGACCTGTGGGACTTGCGAGACCTGTGGGGCCTGTGAAATTTGTGCGACCTGTGAGGCCTGGGGGACCTGTGGGGCTGACGAGACTAATGGGGCCTGTGAAGCATTGTCCAACGAACCGCGTTGACGATTCGGCTGGAGGCGGGTCGAATTATCTAAATTCACACAGAGGGAGGGCAGTTTAGATCGCCCCAGCAATCCCACTTAACGATCGGGCGTGTGCGGCTTTAACCGAACGTTCCCGATAATAAGCCCGCGGGGATATTAAAGTTCGGGGGCCTGGCAGAAATAATCAACGATTTTCCCGGCGAAGGTGGTTATGATGATTATGATGATGATGATTATGATGACGATGATGATGATGATAATGATGATGATGATGATGATGATGATGATGATGATGATGATGATGATGATGATCTCGGGCGCTCGCGTGGACTGACCTTGTAGATCTTGGCACAAGACTAAACTGAAATGTTGAGAATCCCAAGGAGCCCTGCCACACGCTCGTGACTAGGGAAGCTGATATGGTAAGACCACCATTGCCATGCTCAACGTTTTTGATGCTGTTGCGAATCAACACAAAATGATCGCAAGTTCGATTCGCGACTTCCTCGGGTGATTCTCAAGTTCGGCCTCCGCGCACCTCTCCACAATCAAGATTCTATTGACACGGGGTATGAAAGATACAGGGGGAATGGGGGACATGTTTTTTTCTCTAAGCGGGGGCACTCGGCTATTGTGTGTGAGTTCGTATACAGAACGCACTTCGCGTAATGTGGAGTGCCCCGGCGTGCCCACCTTACGATTCGGTTGTTTCCGCGTTCGGCGCGTGAAAAACAAAGCGGGGGGCAACCATCGTAAAGTTGATAATGTATTACATAATGTTTGAAACTATGTTCGTTCTTCGTTTTGATAAAATTCAAACAATTCCACTTCACGATGGATGATCCCCGTTCTTTTTCCACACGAAACATAAACATTAGCCTGACGAAGGACCCAACCATATGTAGCTGCGAATGCCACGTTGTGGGCACCGCTTTCGGCGGAGCTCCCTATGGGGAACCGAAGCGCGCGAGGGGTGCGCCGACATCGGCGGCGCGAACGCATGCGGACCCTGCCACTAGAGCCTTCGGTGGACCAGCCTATGGGGCCACGAAGCGCTGTCCTGGGTGGCGGTGGCGCATGTGGACACTGCCACTGGAGCCTTCGGTGGAGCTCCCTCGGGGGCCACGAAACCCTGTCTGTGGTGGCGGCGACGCGTGCGGACACTGCCACTGGAGCCATATGTGGAGCTGCCTATGGGGCCACGAGGCGCTGTGCTGGGTGGCGGTGACGCACGCGGACATTGCCAGTGAAGCCTTCGGTGGAGCTCCCTATGGGGCCATTAAGCGCTGTCCTGGGTGGCGGTGACGCACGCGGGCCCTGCCACTGGAGCCTTCGGTGGAGCTCCCTCGGGGGCCACGAAACGTTGTCCTGGGTGGCGGTGACGCATGCGGACCCTGCCACTGGAACCTGCGGTGGAGCTCCTTCGGGGGGCACGAAACGTTGTCTTCGGTGGCGGTGACGCACGCGGACCCTGCCACTGGAGCCTTCGGTGGAGCTCCTTCGGGGGCCACGAAACGTTGTCCTGGGTGGCGGTGACGCATGCAGACAATGCCACTGGAGCCTTCGGTGTAGCTCCCTATGGGGCCATTAAGCGCTGTCTTCGGTGGCGGCGACGCATGCGGATCCTGCCGCTGGAGCCTTCGGTGGAGCTCCCCAAGGGCCAACGAAACGCTGTTTTGGGTGGCGGTGACGCATGCGGACGCAGCCACTGGAGCCTTGGGCGGACCTCCCTAAAGGGCCACGAACCGTGTGAGGGGTGTGCCGTAATGGCTGGCGGTGACGCGTGCGGACGCAGCCACTGGGGCCTTCGGTGAAGCTCCTTATGGGGCCACGAGCCGTGTGAGGGATGTGCCGTAATGGGTGGCGGTGACGCATGCGGACGCAGCCCCTGAGGCCTTCGGGGGAGCTCCCTATGAGGCCACGAACCGTGTGAGGGGTGTGCCGCAATGGGTGGCGGTGACGCATGAGGACGCAACCACTGGGGCGTTCGGTGGAGCTCCCTATGGGGCCACGAACCGTGTGAAGGGTGTGCCGAGTTGGGTGGCGGTGACGCATGAGGACGCACCCATTGGGGCCTTCAGTGGGGCTCCCTGTGGGGCCACGAACCGTGTGAGGGGTGTGCCGTAATGGGTGGCGGTGACGCATGAGGACGCAGCCACAGGGGCGTTCGGTGGGGCCCCCTATGGCGAACATGTGCGACCGTGAGCAGATGTTCGCAGCGAGCCCGCTCCCGCCCCCGGCCACTGCTTAGCTCTCGTTCCCCCACCGAAACATCATCAGCATCCTCGCTCGCCGCTTCATTCTAATCCTCCTGCTCCCCCCTTCTCTTCGTTTTCCTCCTCTTCGCACATTCGCGTTCTTTTCCCTCGCGCTCCCCCCCTAGCCTCGCAGGGGGGCCGCGACAGACCGCGGCGGCCGTCCGGGCGCCATTTTATGTATCAGGGACCGCGCGCTTCCCATTCCATCTGCCCGAGCGGCAGAGGTTGCCGACGCCATGCGGCAATTGGCGCCAGAACGACTGCATCCCGCTCAACCAGGGTCGACATCCACGCGGCTGGGAAAAAAGTTATAGCACATTCCACGAGACTTTCATCGCGAGGGATCTGCAGACGGCAGCGCCCAAAGAGAGGACCATTCGGTGATTTTCGCCTCTCGATGTCGGCAGCGCGCGCTGGCGCGCACCATGGGCCAGGCCATCGACGCGCCGCGCTGTGGCCTGCGCGCCCAGTGGCAGCATTGGGAGGCGGACGCCGCTCACTGCCCGGGTGATCTTCCAACTTAATCCTTCGAGGGCCGCTGGAGTGGGCGGTTCCACGTTCTGCCGTGCGGTTTCGTTCCCACCAGTCGGATGGCCAACGTGCAACGCGCCATGCAGACGAGACGTTTTTCCGTGACGTTGACAGGTGGATGTCACTTGATGCGACGGGCCCCGCCTGGGCTGATTCATCATTCTTTCGGCTTCCACCCCTGTGCCACTTTTGTTGTGAGCTTTTTCTCACGGGGACGTGCGAAACCTCAGGTGCTTGAAAGATGTCGGCACGCGCGCGACGGCGCGCGCGTGCGCTTCGCCCATTTGTTTGCAAAGGATCCTTGGGAACTCACGACTTTTGGCAAACAAGTGCGCGCGCATCATTCTGTGCAAAGAATGGCGGGGTGCGTCGATGCAGGTTGGGCTGGGATTGCAAGAGCTCATACTCGAGCGAGCGATGGGGCAGAATCGCATGCAAAGCGCAATACAGAAAGGCGGGCGGATAACTCCGGGGGGGGGAGGGTGGTAGATCCAACTTCCTAGCTAGAAAGGAGAAGCGCGCTTCAACCAATTTGAATATTCAGTTTCAGTGCTCTAGAAACGTCCCACACACCCTTCCACAATTTGTTGGCAACGCCAATTTGGCCACATGATGTGAGAAACCTTACGGGGTGGTGACGATGGCGACGAAGACATCAGCGACGGCGTCGACGACTATGATCGTTGCACTGACGCCGACAGATGCGGCAAAGCCAATGGCAATGATGATGGCGACGGTTGCGACGATGACGACAATTGCAATAACGTTGGCGATGCAGATGGCGATGGCGCTGACGAGGACGGTTTGGAAGCGCCCGTGTGTTTGTGAACGTCGATGTTGCAACGACTCGGAAAACCGGTACCACGACACACCCCGCCCTCCATCGCCCGGCATCGCCCGACCCTTTCCCGCGAGCGGTCCGCCCACTAGTCCACGCCAGCTAGGGGAACCCCACCGTGCCCTGTTTGCGCGCGCCACTGAAACACTCACCCCCAAGTCCACGCCCGCTCCTCCCACCACTTCCCTTTTCCAGAACCTCCCCGTTTAGAACTTGTTTTTTTGCGTCGGCAGCTAGGCAGAGAAACTGCGCTGGCGGAAGAGCTAATTAAACGGGGGCACCAATGTAGCGAAATGTGCCACAACGCAAGGGAGAGAGGGAAAGCGGGGAGGGCGGGGCACCCAGCGTAAACATGCGGAAACCCAGACAGCGCGCGAGGCGCCCACGAGGCGCCCACGGGGCCGAAAACCCAGCCAGCATAGATGCCCACGGGTGCCCACGACGAGAGAGCCCGCAAAATCAACCAACTAGACCTCAGGCCGCAAACTCTTAGTGCAAGCGCTGTATATGACATCTCAAAGAGCCCAATGTGAGCGACGATCAAAAACTTGTCTTTAGCGGGATGACGTAGCGACCTTGCGCCGCGGCTTACGCGGGCCGCCAACGAGGCACGCCACATTGGAAACGACGAGGGCGCTTACGCGCGACCTTACGCGGGCAGCTTACGCGCCAGAGTCGGCACAGACGGTTCCGTTTTCTTGCCTCGCTCATGTGACCTCGAAATCTGGGCGCCTCCAAGACGATTGAGAATATGAATGATGCGTGCTGTTCGCGGGGTAAAGAGCTACTCCCGAATACACCCAAGCTCAGGGGCTACACCCCGCTAGGCCGTCACGGGCTGCGTCAAGCCCCCGGATGCCCCCGCGAGCGCATGCGACGGGTTGGTCCGCCAGCCGTCCTAGGCGCCGCCGCCGGCGAGATCCTCGTATATCTTCTGGAAGACGCTGCCGGCCTTCTCCGAGCCAGAGATGTCGGAACCGCTCTCCCGCCCCTCCCCGCTCTCGCCCCGCGACGACCGCTGCCGCCGACCACCGCTTCCCCGCCGGGGGGTCGGCCGCGGCTGCTGGCGGTCCGACATGTCCTCGAGGGCGCTGCCAGGAGTGTCCCTGGCCCGAGGCATCCCCAGGAGGTCCGACGAGGCCCCCCCACGGCCTCTGGAGCGCCCCCTCGCGAGGCCCAGAGGGCCACATGGGGCTCCCAAGTGGAGCGGAAAGCCAGGGACCCCGTGGGCGAGGGACACGTTTAGCAACCCCTCCCCGTCCTCGATGTATCTCGTGCCCCCGCCAGAGAAGCAAGAGTTGGTCTCCCTGAACTGCACGCTCTTCTCCTCCTGCGACTCCCGCGACTCCCGCCTCGTGCGCACGGGCAGCAGGCCCGCGCCCAGCAGGGGCTCCTGGTCCACCACGAGCCCCGCGCCCAGCAAAGCCGCGGGGGTGGCTGCGGCCTCGAAGACGGGAGGGCCCCTGCCGGTGTCCTGAGGGGCAATGAAAAGAGGGGACTGGCATAGGCGGGGGGACGTGGACCTGGAATCTGCGATACCTTGCCGATAGATCGGCAACCGGCCCTCACATAGCACAGCCGCACGCTACTGGGCGGGGGTGGGCTATTGGGCGATCCATGGGCGATGGCAGGTTCGAGGCGTTCCCCCCCCTGCATATGCCTATACTCCCCCCCTGTCGTTGCCCCTGGCGGTGTCCCTGCGGCCCACGGGGGCCGGGGCGGCCTCCTGGGCGGAGCGCTGCGGCGGACCGCCGTTGAGAATGGTGCGGAGCCGCCTTCCGGGCACGCTGGGGCCCTCCTGCGGCGCCCTGCCTGCCTCCGGCGCCGGGGCTCTTCCCGACCGCTTGCCGTCGCCCGAGGAGCTGGCCGGGCCCATGGGCCCCAGAGTGTCGTCGCCCGCCTCGTCCTCGTCCTTCGAGCAGGGGCTCGACCCCAGACCCCCTCGAGCCATGAAAAGATTATGTAATTTTCGGGCTCTGGAGGCCCTTACCGAGCCCCGGGGCCGTCAAAAGACGACTCAGGATGAAAACCAGTCCTGGGGAATAGGTCGAAATCTCTGGGGGTCGACGTCATGAAAAAATCATGACGTCGGGGGTCTGGGACTGCAGAATTGAGCTGCACCCCACATGTTTGGGGTCCAGCGAATCCTTGAGATCGAAAGCGTGGAATGCCCCGCAGGTCTACGGAGCATTCTGCGCATTTCTCGTGGGCTCGGCGGAAAATCAGGTCTGAGGTGAGTCGCTTCTGTGGTCGATCCCCTGCGCGACTCCTCGTCCTTCGCCTCCCGAGGAGGGCCCCTGCCGGTGGCCCTGCGGCCCATGGGCGGCGGGGTGACGGACCGCCCCGGCCGCCCGCTGGGCATCTTCGTGAACTGCGGCGCGCGCTGGACGGGGCCCACCTCCTCTCGGGGATCTGCTGCTGGGGGCCCCCCCAAGCCCAGGCGGTGAGCTGTCGGGTGGTGACTTGGAATCCCCCAAAAGCCACCGCCAGGTTTCCTCACACGGGGTCGCTGCCGTGGTTGGTGACTCCTGGACCCGCCAGCGTGCGGGGCATCCCCGAGAAACCACACGAGTCCCCAAACCGGGTGGTGACACCAAATCGCCCGAGACGCACCGCCGGGTGTTGTCACCACCAAGTTTGGGGACTACCAATAACGGAGCCAGGTCCATCCAAACCTGGGTCAGTCAGGCCTTGCAGGAGCTTGCCAGACCCTGCAGGATCCTGCACGCAAGCCCGGGTCAGTGCACCCCTGACTCTGCAAGATCCTGAGAGATCCGGTGCTCTGACTGGCCCCCGTTTGCATGGACCCCCGTCTCTTGAGCCCCGCTCCTCGTGCTCCGCCTCCCTGCTGGTGGCCCTGCGGCCCATGGGTGTCGGGGTGATGGAGCGCGCGCTGAGCATCTTGCGGATCTGTCCGCCCGCCACGCTGGGGCCCTCCAACTGCGCCCTGCTCAGCTCCTGCGACCGGGCCCTCCTCCAGTGCTCGCTGTCGCCAGAGAGAGGCGTGCTGTCGCGGCAAGCCCTGGGGGGCATGGATCTAGCCGCACGGCGATCATATCTCTCATAGTCGTCCCCGGCTGCTTCTCTTGTCACAAACACCTCGCTGAGGCTCGCCGAGACGTCGCTGAAGGCGTCGCAGATAACGCTCCAGCCATCGGCGGCTGGGCCTGCGGGCTCAGGGCCTCCAGGCTCGCCCTTCTGGTGCGCGCGCAGGGAGTCGTCCTCAACATGAGCGCGGTCCGTGGGCGATGTGGCGTCTGCAGTCTCCTCCCAGGTGAACGTTCAACGGGGGAAACAAGCCAGGGTCGGGGGGAGGGGTTAGAAGTGTTCCTGGCCAGAGGCCCCCCTCAACTTTCCGTGCCGTGATGGGAGCCCCTGGGCCCTCAGGGCCTCGTGAGGGGTGAGCTGGAGGCGATCGGTGCCTTCCTGGAAAGCATGGGAGACACCTTGGGCCAGCGACACCCCACAACTGGCAACATCCGAGGCAGGGAGAGCACAGAGCACAGGAGTGTTGCTAGAGTGGCCCCGAGCTGCCACCCGTTCAACCGAAGGTGATGGGAAAGTGTATACGTCGACTTTGGCCCCTGTCTAATGCATCACCCGACTTCGTGCTTCTCGGTGCGCGACGGCTGTTATTCTTCGTGCTGTCGCGCGTCCACCCTGCAGAATGGCACATCTCCGGCCCAGGACGCGGAACGCGCAACGATCTTGGCGCCCCTGTGGGTGACCTGGGTGGACTCCATGGCAGCCGCACACAGACACACCCCTAGTCTGCAAACCAGTACACCGAGGCCGATGGAGGGAGCTTGCGCGGAGACAAATTCTCGGTGTCGGCGTCGTGCGAAGCGGCTAAGACGAGGAATACCAAGCTTTCCTGGCCCTCCGGGGCCCGAAATCTTGCGGAAATCTGTGCGTTCCCCAAGACGCCAATCCTGGCATCCTGAAGATGATGCTAGGCCGACGTATCCATCTTCGCCCGTATGATTCCACGATGCTCCCATTTCTATTGCCACCCATTGCAGTCAACTCGATCCTCCCACAAGCCAAGCGCGCTCAGCATCGGCGCGGCCGGCAGGCGCGGCGTGTGGTGCGTGGGCACTAGTGCTCCGTAGGGACCAGGGGGCACCACGGCCAACGCAATGCCAGCCAGCCCGACTGCCCAGGCGCATCGGTCGCTTGAGCCAGACCCTCTCCATGGAGGCAGAACTTAGAAGCCCAGCTTCAACAACAGCCCAGCTCTAACTGCAAGAGCTATGACATACGTGTGGTGTGCTGTCAATACTTCGCGACTGCGATGAATGGGAGCGGGCCTGTCAGAGGTCGCATGGAACGCACTGATTGCGCCATGATCATTGACTATCGGGTATTTGAGCTGGGCAGCTCGCTGAACTGCGATGCTCAATGTCGACCTGTGTGCTCCCATCCTGCGACGAGCTGACACTCAGACACGAGGCAGCAAGATTGGACAACCTGGCGAATATCAGAAATCAGACGGCTGTACTTACAACACTCGAGCATGGGGTAGCACCCGATGGGTGAGCCAACGGCTCATCGACAGATGCTAGCTCCCTCGGCCAAGGAAGCCCGTCCGATCATCCTGCGGACTGCAAAGGGGCCCATTCAATTGCACCGTCGTGAACTACCTGCCACACGCAATCAACATCCCAAAGCCCTCCTCAAGGAAGAGGAAAGAAGGAAGAAGGCGGATGGGGAGAGACACGTAACAGGAAATGAACGGAAACTGCTGGAACATCTCTGAACCGCCATGAAGCGCCCGTTTTCAAAAAAAAGAGCCAAGTGGAGGCTGCATTCATGATAGTAACCCCGGAACTGTTAATACTACTACATGAAAAGCGGGACATCCCCCCCTCTGCCCAGGAACATGCGACCCAGCCCGCCAAGCCCACGCAGCTTCTTGGCATAATGAGGGGAACTCGCAGACATCAGTCTGCTATCGTTGACACAGACGCACGCGTCCTCAACGTCTTACTCTCACCCATCGCCATCGCCGCCATCATCACTGCATTCATTGCCGCCGTCATCCCCACCGTCACCATCATCCCTGCCATCATGATTGGCATTGCTCCGGTTACTACGTCCATCCACACAAAGCTAAAAGAAACAGCAAGTATCGAAAGCACCGCTCTCCCCTGCCTGATTAGGCGCCAAGGAACGCCCAAGAAGGCCAAAGACAGTCACGGGACAGCTCCCAAGGGCAAATTGAGGAGCAGATTCAAAACATGTGTCGAAACTTCGTCTCACACAGACTATCAGCCACCAGTGCTTTGCTTTTACAAAGAGGCAAAGGGCGGCGGTGACGAGACAAAAATAGGAGTCTTCGATAAACGGAGAAATAAAAGGGAAGGCAGAACAACGCGCATGTCGCAAGACAGAACATAAGTTACATATGTATGTCTATATGTGTATACAAGTGTGTATCGATGTGTATGTGCTTCACCAGCGAAGCACGAGCTTGCCCTTAGGGACTCTTGCTTAGAGTCTAAGGGACCTTGGCCTGTGGTCCGGCGGCTATGTCGTCGCCGTCGTCGAACGTCGCCGCTTCGTCGCCGCCCGTCGTGTGGGAGTGGCTGCCGGCCTGGCGGCTCCGTGGTCGCCGTCGCCGCCCCGTCCTCGCCTTGTCGCCGCCAGTCGTCTGGGTTTGGCTGGCGGTCTGGCGGCTATGTTGTCGCCGCCGCCGCCCCCGCCGCCCGTTGCACAACATAGTAACTTGTTTTTTTATTACAAAAAAAACAAAAAAAACAAAAAAAACCTCCCCACCCTGGGGCTAAAGACCCCCCAGGAACCGATGTAAAACACATCCGGCGCTTTTGTGCTCAAAGTCTGCCCAGACGTCCGAGTGCGTCGGTATCGGCCCCCCCCGCTATCCTCTGCAGAAAAAATACGATGCGCGCAATCCTTTATCACAAATCATAAGTTGTCAAGAATCCCTCGCAAAAAACGGAACGAAGTGCACACGCGCGCGTCGTCGCGCGCGCATGCCAAAATCCTTCAAAAACCTTCGGTTTCGGAAGGATTTCAAAATCGTGTTTCCAAACAAACATACAAAAACACATGGTTGCGCAACACTGATTCTCTAAAAAAAGCTTACGCGCGCGCTACTGCAAAATTTTCGGAAAACCATGAGTTTTTCAAGATTTTCGAAATAAAAAACATAATACCAAACGGGCTTCGCGCGCGCATGTCGAAATCTTTCGAACGGCCTTGCGCGCGTGCCGTCGCGAGAATCCTCTGCAAAAAACAGGACGGTGTGCACGCGCGCGCGCGTCGTCGCGCGCGCATGCCGAAATCCTTCAAAAACCTTAGTTGTCAGAAGGGTTTCAAAATCGAGTGTCCGAAACACATACAAAAACACAGGGTTTCGCAACGCGGATTTTCAACAAAAGCGTGCGCGCGCGCTCTTGCGTCGTCGTCGCCATCGTTGTCGTCGCCGTCCTCCCTTTTCCCTCGTCGTCGTCGTCGCCGTCGTCGTCGTCGCCCTCTGTCTTTCCTCGCCGTCGTCGTCGTCGTCATGTTTGGCGTCGTCGTCGTTTCCGTCGTCGTTGTCGCCGTGGTCGTCGTTCCTCCTCCCTCGTCGTCGTCGTCGTCGTCGTCCGTCGTCGGCATCTCGTCGTCGTCCCTCCTATTTCGTCGCCGTCGTCGTCGTCGTCGTCGTCGTCTTCCCTCCTCCCTCGTCGTTGTCGTCGTCGGCGTCGCCGTCCTCCCTCCTTCGTCGTTCGTGTCGTCGCCGTCCTCCCTCCTCCCTCGTCGTTGTCGTCGTTGTCGCCGTCGTCGTCATCCCTTCTCCCTCGACGTCGGTGTCGTCTTCGTTGACGCCGTCGTCGTCGTTTTCGTCGTCGTTTTCGTCGTCGTTGTCGTCGTCGGCATCGTCGTCGTCGGCGTCGTCGTCGTCGTTGTCGTCGGCGTAGTCGTCGGCGTCGTCGTCGTCGTCGGCGTTGTCATCGTCGTCGTCGTCGTCGTCGTCGTCGGCGGTGTCGTCGTCAGTGTCGTCGTCGTCGTTGTCGAAGTCGTTGGAGACGTCGTCGGTGCCGTCGTAGTCGTTGTCGGCGGCGTCGTCGTCGTTGTCGCTGTCGTCGTCGGCGTCGGTGTCGTTGCCAAGCGCCATTTGGTACCTACCGTCACGGTCTTAAGAGGTCTTGCGACCAAGTTGCGGGTGGGAGGGTGGGATGTTTGCACGAGCAGTGGAGAGGACAGCTTCAAGATAGTCGAAGTGAAATACGCCACATAAATTGCACCACAAAGGTTAGCTTGAACCACATAGATTGATTGCGCAGCGCCGATTCTCCATTCTGACATCTATTTTGATATAATACCTACCACCCCACCAGCTCTGGGGTCAACCGTCCACCATGGGGATGTGCATTGTAATGCGATTCTGCCCGATCGTTCAAAGCAAAATGGCTTCATACCACTCCAACCAGACAACAATTGACACCTCCGCACGCCCTCGTCTAATAGAATATGCGCGCAAACTCGTTGAAAGAAATGTATTTGTCAGCACGCCCTTGCAACATAGTGGACGACATGCACACGCGTGCGTCGTCGCGCACGCATGCCAGAATCCGGCAAAAACCATTAGCTTCGCAAATATGTCAAAACCGACGTTCCGCAGAACATTTTTTTGACTCAGGAAAAACATTGTTCCACAATGTGGTTTTCGAAAGAGGTACGCGCACTGTTGAAAAATATTACGACAGCCAGTGGTGTTGAAAGAATGTGCATTACATGCGAACAAGCAGGCATCTCGTACGTGCATGTCGACATCACTCGAGCGCCCTTGCGCACGTACTGGAAGGGGGGAGCACCACCCCGTCAAACAAGATAATACCATGTGGGCGAATCGCGCTTTATCGCCGACGCGAGGGCACCAGCATCGACATCGGCGTGCTCAACATCGGCGCCATTATTGGCCCTGCCGTCGTCATCGTCATCCTCATCCTTAGCATTGCTATTATCATCACCGCGTCTGCCGTCGTCGACGTCATCATGATACCACGCCCGTCCGATTCACCGACTCGCACTGAGGGGCCCGCGAGTCATCGCGGCCTGCGAGACGCGCTGGAGAGTGCCCGGCGGCCAGCGCCACCGCGGCCGCGTCGGCCGCGCCAAAGGGGGTGGCCGCTGCGCGCGCGAGCGCGCATGACCGCATACATGCACAAGCCATCGCAAAACACTCATCGCAAACGCTACTGCATGGGTTTTGCAAATCAAGTTGAGGGAAACAGGCGGATGGGATGATTGCGCGAACGCTGGAGTTGACAAGTCCGAATCCGCTAAAACAAATTGTGACCCTTTTTCCAAAAAATCTGATCTACCTCCCCCCCCGACTCAACGGCCCACCATTCGTATTGCAATGTGCATACGATTCTGCCACATCGTCCACCCGAAATATGGACTCATACTATCCCAGGCAGGCCGGAGTTCGCCCCTCCCCCCCTTCCTCGGCAACAATTTATGCGCGAGCGCTCTCGTTGATTTAAAACCAGCTGACTTCTCAACTCCCTTGCCGAATAATGGAACACAGTGCAAGCGCGCGCGCGTCGTCGCGCGCGCATGCCGAGATCCCCTTCACCAAAGTAAAGGTTTCGCAACACAGGTTGTCAAACCAAAGAAAGAACCTGCGCCCGCGCTCTCGCGAATTCTTGAGACAGCCAATGATTCTTCAACGCGTTCAGGAAATACCCCCCGGACGGGCCTCCCGTGCGCGCGTGTCGAAATCGGTCGAACACCCTTGCTGGCGTGCTGCCGCCAGAATCCAACGCGAAAGTAAAGACGAATTGCGCGCGCGTCGTCGCGCGCGCATGCCGACATCCTTCAAAAACCGTAGGTTTCGCAGAGACTTCAAAAACGAGCGCCCCGAAAGAAACACATCAAACCAATTGGCTCTACAACGTCAGCTTTCCAAGAATCCTGACTGCGCTCGGGGTCTTACGGGTTCTTAAGAAAACCATTGGTTTCCAAACTGGTTCATTACATTCTGTCAAGCGGGCCTCTCGCGCCGCATGTCGAACTCATTCGAACGCGCGCGCGCGCTCGGGGGGG